ACGTATAAAGGTACACAACATATCCCTCAAAACTGTCAATATCCTGAACCCCTCCTTTAGAGTGCAGGCATTGTACTTCCCATTTCCAGGACTCAAGTCTGGCTATATAAAAATAACCGGTTTCCCTGAATCCCTTCACTAAATATTACCCTGCTCACACTCCAACAGATCGTCAGGTCCCAAATACCATTCGTCTCCATTCACTCCTATCAAACATGCTCACACATGCCTGCTGGAAGTCCAAGCCCCTCGCCCACAAAACCTCCCTTACCCCTTCCTTCCAACCTTTTCGAGGACGACCCCTACCCCGCCTTCCTTCCCCTACACTACAGATTTAAATGTTCTCCATGTCATTCTACTTTGATCCATTCTCTCTAAATGACCAAACCACCTCAACAACCCTACTTCAGCCCTCTGACTAATACTTCTATTAACTCCACACCTCCTAATTTCCACACTCCGAATTTTCTGCATATTATTTACACCACGTATTGCCCTTAGACAGGACATCTCCACTGCCTCCAACCGCCTCTTCGCTGCTGCATTCACAACCCAAGCTTCACACCCATATAAGAGTGTTGGTACTACTATACTTTCATACATCCCCTTCTTTGCCTCCAAAGATATTATTTTTTGTCTCCACGTATACCTCAATGCACCACTCACCTTTTTTCCATCATCAGTTCTATGATTAACCTCATCCTTCATAAATCCATCCACCGACACGTCAACTTCCAAGTACGTATCTGAAAACATTCACTTCTTCCATACTCCTCCTCCCCAATTTGATATCCAATTTTTCTTTATCTAAATCATTTGGTACCCTCATCACCTTACTCTCTTCTATGTTCACTTTCAACTTTCTACCTTTACTTAAACTGTTGTATCTGGGCACCTTTGCAAAAACAGTGATTATGTGTGAGTGAGGCGAAAGTGTTGAATGATGATGAAAGTATTTTCGTTTTGGGGATTTTTTCTTTTTGGGTCACCCTGCCTGGGTGGGAGGCTGTCGACTTGTTAAAAAAAAAATCTATATTAATGTAAAATAAGACATTTAATGTGCCCAAGAATGATTATTACACACTATTAGTATTATTATGGTGTTGAAACTAGAGGGACACTCTTATTGAACGAGTAACAAAGGCATGTTTATATGCTATGTAACATGTTTCTTACATAATTTTGAAAAAAATGTCATAGATGGATTAATGAAAATGTCTACATTAACCTAAAATAAGACATTTAATGTGGCCAAGAGTGATTCACGAATGTATTAGTGGCCCAGGTGCACACGTCTGGTACCAATGATTTCCGAGGGGATGTACGAAACCCAGGGGAAATTTCGCCGATGAAAGTGCTCGAAAAACTTTATTTTATTGTTTTATTTTGGTATTTCATGTTTTACTTTACTTTTTATGCTGTAAGTACTGTATTTTATACTGTAAGGTTTAGGATAAACACTGTGTATGACACAAATAGTTGCTTATTTCCCAGAAATATGGCATAAAAAACACGGTCGTAAGTCGAGCAGGTCGTAAGTTGGATGGTAGGTGTATTTGCATTTACAAATACAGTGGTCCCTCGCTTTTCATAGTTCTCGGCAATCGTAAATTTCGCCAATCATAGGGGTATTTTCGTATAAACATGGACTCGCTTCTCATAGGTTGACTCGCGAATAGTAGTTCGTCCGGGACGAGTACGCACGGTGTGAGCCGGGGTGGCCTCCCTACCCAGCCAGTCTGGCATTGTTTACCAGTGAGTGAAGGTCCCCTCAAGTGCTCCTACGAAATATTTCATAATACGTATTCCACTCATTTTAGTGCTTGCAAGTACAGTGGACCCCCGCATAATGATTACCTCCAAATGTGACCAATTATGTAAGTGTATTTATGTAAGTGCGTTTGTACGTGTATGTTTGGGGGTCTGAAATGGACTAATCTACTTCACAATATTTCTTATGGGAACAAATTCGGTCAGTACTGGCACCTGAACATACTTCTGGAGTGAAAAAATATCGTTAACCGGGGGTCCACTGTACTAAATAAGCTACCATGGCTCCAAAGAAAGCTCCTAGTGCCAAGCCTGTGGTAAAGAAGGTGAGAAGTATGTATAGTGACTAAGTCTTGGGCCATTTTAGGGAAGTGTTAAACAGATGCCAGAAACAGAGCTCTCTCCACAGTTACTTTGCGAGACAGGACTAGAGTGACTCAAGGTGGTCCTAGTGGCATTAAAAAACAGAGAAGAAAGCAACCCCAGAAAAAAATTTGGTACCTGAGGTGTTGCTGAAGGGGATTCCCCTTCCAAAACTGTAAAAAATCCAATCTCTCTCCTCCTCCAGTCTCCCATACACTAAGAAGAATCTCCAAAAAAGGGTAATGTTAAAGCTGTTCATGTTCATTCATCATTTCCCATTGTATTGTTTATGTACTACATGTATATTTCACATAAAAAAATTTTTTTGTTTTAATACTTCTGGGTGTCAGGAACGGATTAATTGTATTTACATTATTTCTTATGGGGAAAAATTGATTCGCAAATTGTAAATTTTGTTTACAGTAGCTCCTCCAGGAACGGATTAATTACGAAAAACGAGGGACCACTGTAAGTTATTCTAGATTAATTAAGCCAAAATTTATTCCTAAAAATTTACATAATTCATGATGATTTGGTAGGTTACCCTCTAAACAATTTCATGCCCCTCTTATCAGTTTTGCCAACATGCAAGTTAACATTATGTATATTAGCAATGCAAAATGAAAATTTTAGTAAATAAAGATGGGGAGAGGGAGGTATTAGGTAGATGGCGAGAATATTTTGAGGAACTTTTAAATGTTAAGAAAGAAAGGGAGGCGGTAATTTCATGCACTGGCCAGGGAGGTATACCATCTTTTAGGAGTGAAGAAGAGCAGAATGTAAGTGTGGGGGAGGTACGTGAGGCATTACATAGAATGAAAGGGGTAAAGCAGCTGGAACTGATGGGATCATGACAGAAATGTTAAAAGCAGGGGGGGAGTGGAGTGGTTGGTACTTTTGTTTAATGAATGTATGAAAGAGTTGAAGGTACCTAGGGATTGGCGGAGAGCATGTATAGTCCCTTTATATAAAGGGAAGGGGGACAAAAGAGATTGTAAAAATTATAGAGGAATAAGTTTACTGAGTATACCAGGAAAAGTGTACGGTAGGGTTACTGAAAGAATTAGAGGAAAGACAGAATGTAGGATTGCGGATGAGCAAGGAGGTTTCAGAGTGGGTAGGGGATGTGTAAATCAAGTGTTTACATTGAAGCATATATGTGAACAGTATTTAGATAAAGGTAGGGAAGTTTTTATTGCATTTATGGATTTAGAAAAGGCATATGATAGAGTGGATAGGGGAGCAATGTGGCAGATGTTGCAAGTACAGTGGACCCCTGCTTAACGATCACCTCCCAATGCGACCAATTATGTAAGTGTATTTATGTAAGTGCGTTTGTACGTGTATGTTTGGGGGTCTGAAAGGGACTAATCTACTTCACAATATTCCTTATGGCAACAAATTCGGTCAGTACTGGCACCTGAACATACTTCTGGAATAAAAAAATATCGTTAACCGGGGGTCCACTGTATATGGAATAAGTGGTAAGTTACTAAATGCTGTAAAGAGTTTTTATGAGGGTAGTGAGGCTCAGGTTAGGGTGTGTAGAAGAGAGGGAGACTACTTCCCGGTAAAAGTAAGTCTTAGACAGGGATGTGTAATGTCACCATGGTTGTTTAATATATTTATAGATGGGGTTGCAAAAGAAGTAAATGCTAGGGTGTTCGGAAGAGGGGTGGGATTAAATTATGGGGAATCAAATACAAAATGGGAATTGACAGTTACTTTTTGCTGATGATACTGTGCTTATGGGAGATTCTAAAGAAAAATTGCAAAGGTTAGTGGATGAGTTTGGGAGTGTGTGTAAAGGTAGAAAGTTGAAAGTGAACATAGAAAAGAGTAAGGTGATGAGGGTACCAAATGATTTAGATAAAGAAAAATTGGATATCAAATTGGGGAGGAGTAGTATGGAAGAAGTGAATGTTTTCAGATACTTGGGAGCTGACATGTCGGCAGATGGATTTATGAAGGATGAAGTTAATCATAGAATTGATGAGGGAAAAAAGGTGAGTGGTGTGTTGAGGTATATGTGGAGTCAAAAAAACGTTATCTATGGAAGCAAAGAAGGGAATGTATGAAAGTATAGTAGTACCAACACTCTTATATGGGTGTGAAGCTTGGGTTGTGAATACAGCAGCGAGGAGGCGGTTGGAGCAGTGGAGATTTCCTGTCTAAGGGGAATGCGTGGTGTAAATATTATGCAGAAAATTCGGAGTGTGGAAATTAGGAGAAGGTGTGGAGTTAATAAAAGTATTAGTCAGGGGTTGTTGAGGTGGTTTGGTCATTTAGAGAGAATGGATCAAAGTAGAATGACATGGAGAGCATTTAAATCTGTAGGAGAAGGAAGGCGGGGTAGGGTAATCCTCGAAAAGGTTGGAAGGAAGGGGTAAGGGAGGTTTTGTGGGCGAGGGGCTTGGACTTCCAGCAGGCGTGCGTGAGCGTGCTCGATAGGAGTGAATGGAGACGAATGGTATTTGGGACCTGACGATCTGTTGGAGTGTGAGCAGGGTAATATTTAGTGAAGGGATTCAGGGAAACCGGTTATTTTTATATAGCCGGACTTGAGTCCTGGAAATGGGAAGTACAATGCCCGCACTCTAAAGGAGGGGTTTTGGGATATTAGCAGTTTGGAGGGATATGTTGTGTATCTTTATATGTATATGCTTCTAAACTGTTGTGTTCTGAGCACCTCTGCAAAAACAGTGATTATGTGTGAGTGAGGTGAAAGTGTTGAATGATGATGAAAGTAATTTCTTTTTGGGGATTTTCTTTCTTTTTGGGTCGCCATGCCTCGGTGGGAGACGACAGACTTGTTAAAAAAAAAAAAATAATCTTAACTGGTTTTTTTTTGTTTGTTTGTTTTATAGGAACCCAGTTGCTTGTGGTGAAACAATACGCTTGCAGCACTTGGCAACAAGGAGGAACCTGCATTCTCATCACTTTTCATCTCCACTGTCAGATAAGCAAGAGATATCTGCATTTGGAGAAGAAGGAGAAGGTGATTCTGGGGATGAGTGGGTAGTCATATGTGATGGTGAAGAATGGGGTCGCCACCAGACAATCATGCTTAGACATGTTGACACTGATGTGTATGTATCTTGAATAATTCCATTTTCACTATTTGTAGCCTAAATTATTGTGTAGCAGATACTGATTTTAATGTGTACTCTAAATGAATTTAGAGCAGATTTCTTTACTTTTTTTTTTTTTGCTCCTGTTTATCTAATGATACCAAGAAGTGCTTTTGGCTTCTATACAGAATGGTGTTATAATTTGTAGAATTCATGTACTGTACAATATGCATATTTTGTTATGCACTTATAGTTTAGGGATGCCCAATGGAACCGATTCAATTTTTTTCTGAGGCTTCATTGTAGTATGTTTTGAGAATTTATTCCTCAATCTTGTAACAGTAAAGTAAGCTCATAAAATGAATATCTGGTCTCTGTACATTATGCTGGCAATTACACCTTAAAATAAGATGTGGTAGTTATTCTTTGTTAAAAAAAAAAAAAAATAGCTAGAACAATTTTTGGCCTATAAGAATTTTTTGAAATTCTGGATATTCTAAACTGCAGGATTGTATTTGGATGCAGTCTCTATAATAGTAGTTATAGAAAAATTTGGAATTTGGGCACTTTCTCAAATACAGGTCGGCAATCAGTAATCCAGTTCCATCTGTAATTCGGCACTAATTTTGACTAGCATAATTTCAATTTTCCGGGGTCACCACACCAACTTGCCACTACTTGCTGCATAAATCATTCCAGTTTCTTTTTATCCATTTATTGTTATAACCTGTACACTTTTAGCCCTAGCCATGGTTCCAACGAATAAAAGAATTCTCATTGTGTAAAGCACATACACCATAGATTGTCCATAAAAGATAAGGTGGCTATGAAGAAACTGTTGGTGATCATGAGCTCAGCTCACCCAGATAAGCTGTGACTGGTAAATTTGAGCCTACATATGAGAGAATAGGTCTGTGTGATAAGTGTGCACTAAATAAAAAAATCCTGCAGCATGTAGCGCATAATGAGAATAAAAAACTGTGACCAGAGGGTGCTTGTGTTGTCCTGAAGGACGACACACCAAATGGAGATAGTGGCCCTGGTGATGAAACAGGTAAAGACAACATTATTCAATTTACAAAGGTACAAAGTAGCAATACTGCTGGAGATGGAACAAAAGGGGATGATGCCTCAGGGAATAGTGTTGACTTTTTTTCTTTTTTTCAACAAACTGGCCATATCCCACCAAGGCAGGGTGGCCCAGAAAGAAAAACGAAAGTTTCCCTTTTTTAAATTTAGTAATTTATACAGGAGAAGGGGTTACTAGGCCCTTGCTCCCGGCATTTTAGTCGCCTTTTACAAGTGTTGACATCTTCTTTCTTTCAACACACAGGCCGTATCCCACCGAGGCGGGGTGGCCCAAAAGAAAAAACGAAAGTTTCTTCTTTTACATTTAGTAATATATACAGGAGAAGAGGTTACTAGCCCCTTGCTCCCGGCATTTTAGTCACCTCTTACAAGTGTTGACATATTACCAGTAAAAACTGGTTGAAGCACTGATGTCTATACAGGGGCAGTAGGTAGTGAGGAAACAGAAAAAAATGCACCAGCAGGGAACACAACCACAAAAAAATCCTAGCAAACAAAATTTCAATCTATGCCTTGGGTATGTGCAGGCATGATATACGTATCTGGAAAAACAGGTGTGACATGCACCTTTGACCATCCCAAAAAATGCCACACCCATGTGACAACAGGAAGGTGCAACTCCCCTTCCTGCAACTTATTTCACCCCAAAATGTGTCACTCATCAGTCCATGAAAGAAAATGCTACAACATATACTGCCAGGCACATCATCTAAAGGGGACAGGAAGACACAGACCAGCCGGACTATGGGAAACAATAGAGGGGAGCCATAACTCATCAGAGAAGGAAGTTTCGTAGTGCCAGGAAGGGAAAAAAAACTGGCAAGAAATGACAGACATCCTATGCCAACTGGAAACACTTCTGGAGCAGAGGCACAATTATTGGTCTTCACTTCAGAACAGATATTAAAGCTAGAAATTAAAAAAAAACCCTAAATTCCATCAATAAAACAAGATTTATCTTTGCAAACATACAGGGTCTAAAGCCATCAACAAAATTCCTTACATCAAGGCACTGATGCAAACATTGCATTTGACTCATGGAGTCAAATGCAATGTTTGCAGCTTTCACAGAGACCCACATAAAGGATCATTTTCACAATGAAATATGGATCCCAGGTTATAACCTATTCAAATGCGACAGACTAAAAAGGCAAAAAGGGAGGTTGGCCTGTACATCACAGAATCGCTTAGAACTACTTAACACCTCAAATGATGTAGTTGAAGTTTTGCCAGTTAAGATTGAAAACCAAAACCTTGTTATTGTGGTTGTCTACAAGCCTCCAGATGCAATTTCCCAGCAATTCCAGGAACAGCTTTTGAAAATTGACCACTGTCTGGCCAATCTCCTAACTCCTGCCCCAAACATCTTGCTACTGGAAGATTTCAACTACAGTGGACCCTCGTTTTTCAAAATTAATCCGTTCCAGAGAGTGTGACTAATGGCAAAATTGATGATTTGCCCATAAGAAATAATGAAAGTCCAATTAATCCGTTTCAGACCAAAAGTATTAACAAAAAAAATATCTTTTTTATATGAAATATAGATTTGCATACACAGAAAACAATGAGACATGAAGAATAAAACAATAATAACATCACACTTACCTTTATTGAAGAGAAGAATAAAACAATAATAACATCACACTTACCTTTATTGAAGACTCTTGTTGGTGTATGAATAAAATATGTCATTACATATGTTAGGAATTGTGGCAGTGGCAGGGGAGTGTGTTAGGAGGCAGGATAAGATAGTCCTTCAATATGACACTAATATCAACTCTGTGGCTTATTTATGTATCACAATTCATCTAATATTACATAATAAACAATATTAATAACATAGAAACATGACATATACTCTAGAATGAATAAAAAATGTCATTACGTATGTCACAAGTGGTGTTGTTTTGTTGGGTGTATAAGGGCCACTGAGAGCATAAGTTGTACATGGTGGTGGAGGTGGTGGTGTTGTCAGTAGCCCTATACAACTCCAACAACATTGGAGGAGTTAGGTTTGTGCTATCCTTTTTCTGTTGATTAACCCTTTCAGGGTCCGTCCCGTAGATCTACGGCTTTACGTTCAGGGTCCAAACCGTAGATCTACGCCATGAGCTCAGCTCACTCTGATAAACTGTGAGTGGTACATTTGGGCCTAGATATGAGAGAATACATCTATGTGGTATGTGTGCACCACATAAAACAGATCCTGCAGCACACTGTGTATAATGAGAGAAAAAAACTTAAATCATGATTTTTCGATTAAAACAGCAACTTTGCAGTGTTTTTTCGTATGTTTTTATAGTTGTATTTGCGATTTCTTGGTCTCATTTGATAGAATGGAAGACATATTACAGAAATAGAGATGATTTTGATTAGTTTTAGCACTGGAAATGGCTTGAAACTGAGCTCAAAGTAGCGGAAATGTTAAATTTTTGCCGATATTCAAGAGTAAACAAACGACCTCGCACGTCTAATACACGTCAGCTGGTGGGTCTAATATACATTCACAAATATGGTGATGATATTTATACAATTATTACAGTATTGCATAACAGTAAATCTTCTATTTTTTGGTGTGAATAAAAATTCATTATGTGAATAAAAAATCAAAATGGAATTTATTTGTAAAGCCTCAAAACATAACTAATGAACAGAGGAAACGTTAGTTTAGTGCCAGGAATGCCTACATTGTTTATTCTGGACCCTATTTTGAAATTGGAATATTTTGAACTTTGTGTTAATTGGCCAAATTAACAATTTCCGATCACTTTATTTTGTAGTTGAAACAGTTGACTTGGCGATTTCTTGTGCTCAATCGATAGAATAGAAGTAATACTAGTGAAATAGCTAAGAATTTGGTTGATTGGAATAATGTAATTGGCCTAAAATGGGAGTCAAAGTCGGCAAAATCGCCGATTCGTAAATGTCGCTGACACATCAAAATTCGCAAGAGCATAATTTCGTCAATTTTCCACCAAATTTCGTACTTTTTGTTTTATTACCTTCACAAAAAGATTCTCTACGATTTCATAAGAAAAAATAACAATTTTTTTTTTTTGAAAATTCTTGGACACTGGTGCGTGACTCCAGATTTGGGCCTTGGACCCTGAAAGGGTTAATAGCTTTACTTACTTGCTACACTGTTAATGCTACACTTTATCACTGGCTGGCACTATAGCCTTTATCGACTTGTGCTGCTTTTGTGTCATACATATCGTAGAATCACTGAATCAGGTACATTGTCCCCTCTCTCTTCCTCCTCCACTTCAGTACTTTGCTACGAGTTCTTTCTTGAATTCTATCATGTTTCTTACCTTCTTTACCAAAGGCCTGGCAATAGGAGCTTCCTTTGGGGCCATGGTGGCTTATTTAGCAGTTGCAAGCACTAAAACGAATGGAATATTACGAAATGTACTATCGTATGAACGCATGGAATCATCCTCACTCGCTGATAAACAATGGCACACTGGCTGTGAATGGTGTGTAGGGCCACTCAGGACTGTGCATACACATCTGAGACGAACGACTATTTGTGAGTCAAACGACGATTCGCGAGTCAGTATTTGGACGAAAAAATGTTACGATTTTCGAAAATTACAACTTATGATGCTTACGAGAAATGAGGGTCCTCTGTACTCAGATATGGAAAACTTGAGGAAATTAAAACTGTATCAGGGTGTACAACAAATTCTAACCATAAAATAGAGCAAAAATGTACTGTGAAGGACCTGAGAGTGATAATTTCAGAGGGTCTCACCTTCAAAGACCACAACAATGTACAGAAAAACCGCATCTGCTAGAAAAATAATAGGATGGTTAATGAGAACCTTCAGAACTAGCAGTGCCAAGCCCATGATGATTCTCTTAAGATTGCTTGTTTTCTCTAGGCTGGAATACTGCTGTACACTAACTGCCTTCTTCAAGGCAAGCAAAAATTGCTGACCTGGAGTGTACAAAGAGCTTTCACGGCACACATAAATACAATAAAGCACCTAAATTACTGGGAACAGTTGAAGTCCCTTGATTTGTATTCCTTGGAACACAGGTGAAAGAGATGCATGATAATATACATTTGGAAAATCCTAGAGGGATTAGTACCAAACTTGCATACGAAAATCATTCCCCCAATGAAAAGCAGGGGTGCCACAAGTACACTGAGAGAAGAGAGACGACACAATAAGTGTCAGGAGCCCAAGACATTTCAACTGCCTCCCAGCATACATAAGGGGGATTACCAATAGACCCCTCGCTGTCTTCAAGAAGGCACTGGACAGGCACCTAAAGTCAGTGCCTGACCAGCCAGGCTGTAGTTTGTACATCAGTTTGCGTGCAGTCAGCAGTAACAGCCTGGTTGGTCAGACCCTGATCCACCACAAGGCCTGGTCTCAGACCGGGCCACGGTGGCGTTGACCCCCGAAGCCCTTCCAGGTGTTTTTGGTGTAAAACTGATTTTGAGGTGTATTTTCGTATGGTTTTAATGGTTGTATTCTCATTTTTTTTGGTCTCATTTGATAGAATAGAAGATGTATTACAGAAATAGATATGATTTTGATTGGTTTCATCAGAATGGGGGCACATCACAAGCGGTGTTCCTCAGGGGTCAGTGTTGGGCCCGTTGTTGTTCACAATTTACATAAATGACATAGATGAGGGAATAAATAGCGACATAAGCAAATTTGCTGATGACACCAAAATAGGCCGTCCAATTCATTCTAATGAGGACACTGTAGCACTCCAGGATGGTTTGAATAGACTGATGCAATGGTTGGAGAAGTGGCAGATGCTGTTTAATATTGACAAATGCAAAGTTCTAAATGTTGGACAGTTAAATAACCATGCCACATATAAACTAAATAATGTAGATCTTAATACTTCTGATTGCAAAAAGGATTTAGGAGTTCTGGTTAGCAGTAATCTAAAATCAAGACAACAGTGCATTAGTGTTCGCAATAAAGCTAACAGAATTCTTGACTTCATATCTAGAAGTATAAATAATAGAAGTCCTCAGGTTGTTCTTCAACTCTATATATCCTTGGTTAGGCCTCATTTAGACTATTCTGCTCAGTTCTGGTCACCGTATTACAGAATGGATATAAATGCTCTGGAAAACGTACAGAGGAGGATGACTAAGATGATCCCATGTATCGGAAATCTTCCCTATGAGGATAGACTGAGGGCCCTGAATCTGCACTCTCTCGAAAGGCGTAGAATTAGGGGGGATATGATCGAGGTGTATAAATGGAAAACAGGAATAAATAAAGGGGATGTAAATAGCGTGCTGAAAATTTCCAGCCAAGACAGGACTCACAGCAATGGCTTCAAGTTGGAAAAATTCAGATTCAGGAAGGATATAGGAAAGCACTGGTTTGGTAATAGAGTTCTGGATGAGCAGAACAAACTCCCGAGTACAGTTATTCAGGCTAAAACGTTGTGCAGTTTTAAAAATAGGTTAGGTAAATACATGAGTGGGTGTGGGTTAGTGTGAGTTGGACCTGACTAGCTTGTGCTGCTGGGTCTGGTGCAATGCTCCATCCTTGAGTGGAGGTGACCAGACTGGGTGGGTCATTGAGTTAATCCAGGGGGGGGGGTCATTGGTCTAATCCGGGGGGGGACATGGACCTGCTCCGCATGAATCAGTAGGCCTGTTGCAGTGTTCCTTCTTTCTTATGTTCTTATGATGGAAAGTACCTTGAGATTGAGCTCAAAGTAGCGGAAATGTTCAATTTTTGCCGATCGAGAGTAAACAAATGACGTGACTATCCAATACATGTCCAACTGGCTGGTCTAATACACAGTCACAAATGGGTTGACATTACAGTGGTCCCTCGTTTTTCGTAATTAATCCGTTCCTGGAGGAGCTACTATAAACGAAATTTACGATTTGCGAATCAATTTTCCCCATTAGAAATAATGTAAATACAATTAATCCATTCCTGACACCCAGAAGTATTAAAAAAAAAAATTGTTTTACATGAAATATATATGTAGTACACAAACAATACAATGGGAAATGATGAATGAAACATTAACAGTATAACACTTACCTTTATTGGAGATTCTTCTTAGTGTATGGGAGACTGGAGGAGGAGAGAGATTGGATTGTTTACAGTTTGGAAGGGGAATCCCCTTCCAGCAACACCTCAGGTACCAATTGCTTCTCTGGGGTTGGTTCTCTTCTCTGTTTCTTAATACCACTAGGACCACCTTGAGAGTCACTCTAGTCCTGTCTCGCAAAGTAACTGTGGAGAGAGCTCTGTTTCTGGCGTCTCTTTAACACTTCCCTAAAATGGCCCAAGACTTTGTCACTGTACATATTTCTCACCTTCTTTACCACAGGCTTGGCACTAGGAGCTTTCTTTGGAGCCATGGTAGCTTATTTAGTACTTGCAAGCACTAAAATGAGTGGAATATTATGAAATATTTCATAGGAGCACTTGAGGGGACCTTCACTCACTGGTAAATAATGCCAGACTGGCTGGGTAGGGAGGCCGCCCCGGCTCACACCGTGCGTACGTGTCCCGGACGAACTACTATTCGCGAGTCAACCTATGAAAAGCGAGTCCATGTTTATACGAAAATACCCCTATGATTGGTGAAATCTACGATTGCCGAGAACTACGAAAAGCGAGGGACCACTGTATTTATATAATTATTACAGTAATGCATAGCAGTAAGTCTTCTATTTTTTGTGTGAATAAAAATTCAAAATGGAAAGCAAACCTGGAGACGTAACTAATAAACAGAGAAAAATATTATTTTAGTGCCAGGAATGTTTGCATTGTTTTCTGGACCCTATACTTTAAAGTTGGCACCTCTTGAAATTTGTGAAATTGGGCAAATTACTGATTTCTGACCACCTTATTGGGTAGTTGAAATAAGTAAATGGGCGGTTTCTTGTACTCAGTCGACAGAATAGAAAGAATACTAGCGAAATAGCTACGAGTTTCGTAGACTGGAACAATGGAATGGGCCAAAAATAGGGCTTACAGTGAGTGAAATCGCCAATGCGTAAATATCGCTGTTGACTTAAGTGTATTCTAGCCTAACCGCTCTGTAATCTGGCAAAATCACTAATCTGGCATGCTACAGGTCCCGATGATGCCGGATTAGTGATGGTGATTATTATATACAGGATATAGTTTTTATAACTGCCGTACATTTTTCAGTATCCATAAAGAATGCACAGGTTTCAGATGGTGAATTCAGAGTGTGAGAATTCACCACATGCTAGTTTCGCCCAGAAAACCTCCTATATGGATACTGAGATTTTAGTAGTTATGAAAGGAATGTATTAATAATGTCTTACAAAAGAGAAAGCTTAAGCCTTAGTGCCAATGGACAGTTGCATGGGTCAAGTGAAGGACCACAAAAGCACGAGGCTTTCCTCTTGAGATTTTATTCAGGGAACACTTTCCCTTGGCAGTGGACACGAAGGTTTTCTCTGGCATTTCCTTCCAAAAACTTAGTTTCATCAGTAGTAAGGACTTGCCATGTTATATATCCACATACTTTTAAATATCCTTAGTAGAGTAGTAGACAACAAACCTCTGAAAGAGTTACTGTACTACCATCCTGTTACAAAAGTCTGAAATGGAAGTCGGTTAAATGTTTTCCACTATGGCAGTAGTGCTGTGTTTTTCATTTAAATGGAGCTTGCTTGTACTGGTTGTCTAATGACTAATGTTTAAACTTAATCTCTTAGCAGAGCCACAAAAATTGGGGAAAAATTTGGTAAGTGTAAAGTTGCTGAATAGAAACTAAATGTTTAGCGAATGCATCAACACCACTAACATGTAGTAGTATATTTAAGACACATCACTAGAGGAATTAATTTAAGAACAATGCAGATGGGATGGGCCTGAATATTATAGAATATTCATCTTTATATGTTTGCAGTTTATTTGCATTTCTAATACTGTTAACATTTTTATCTTTAACAGCTACCTTGGTGTAACAGGACAACAGTATGGGCGTCCCATCAATGGACAGAATGAAGTAGTAGGACTGTCTCGACCAGGAGTACAAGCTAAATGGCAGACAATGGAAGGAGTCTTCATTAATCCCTCTCAGTTCTCAGATGACAGTAGAATATTTCATGATCCATCAGAACTCTGATAATTTCTAATTTTCTTTTCTTGTGTGGATTATGTTAGTACTGTAGTGTATTGAAAGAATAACTTTTTTCATATAATTGTAAGCTGGCAGTATTATTTATAAAGCATTTAAAATCTGCTTATGTAACTAGTTTCACATTTAGTGCACCTTGTAAAGATTCTACTCTTCAACCCTTACATGTAAATTTTAGATAAAATAGGTATTTTTTGCAATCAATCCTAACTCAAAATAAAAAGTATCTTGCATAAATATACATTTGCAAAAATACATATGCAGGTTAAGAATTGATCCCACTTTCATGTATTTTCTTCAGTCCAATAAATTTCCAGTGTTACACATACATTTTCTTTATAAGGAAACTGAACATTCACCCAGTTATTTATAATTCTTAATCATTTATATGCTCAACAAATTTATTTATTATACAGGCATTCTCAGTGTCACTAAAAGTGAATGCAAGTATAGAATGAATTTTATGTAGTTTTGCTTCAAAAGTATCAGTTATGTTGTATGTATCCTGATCAAAATGCTGAATAATCCTCCCGTATGTTGGCTCAGATTATTTACTCTTTGGTTATAATTCAACTTTCTTGGCTTAGAATGGAGTGAGAGCAAGGTAATATTCATGAAAGGCTTCAGGAAAAGGAATTAGCTGTAATTTTTGAGGCAGGGACTTGAGGAGGTATAGTGCCTGCATTCAGAAAGGTGGATCAGGATGTTACAATTCAGTGGATCATTAGACTCCTCCTTGTTTCTTTGAAAAAGCTAGAGAATGGGTGATGGTGAATTTATTTTCTTTCTATGGGTTGTCCTACCTTGATCAGATTAAAAATGAACTATGTGATGAATGGTTTTGAAAACTGACAAGTTGAAGAATTGAGACACTTGTGCAACATATGGGAATCTTGACTCACGAAATTGTAATGACACAATTGCAAACAAACCATACCACGGGCGGGATTTGAACCCGCGGTCAGAGTCTCAAAACTCCAGACCATCGTGTTAGCCACTGGACCAGCTAGCCACAATAAGATTCGTCCAACTAGGTATATTTCTACACCATAGGAAGGTTAGCATAGGTACCACTGTCACCACAAATGCAAGTTTTTGCAGACGAATCTCCAGGTAGCATGGCCATGACGAAATCTAGCTCAAGTCCCCTCAATGCCGTCAACATGACTCACGAAATCGTAATGACACGGCCACGCTAGCTGGAGATTCACCTGTAAAAACTTGCATTTGTGGTCACAATGGTGCCTATGCTAACCTTCCTATGGTGTAGAAATATACCTAGTTGGATGAATCTTATTGTGGCTAGCTGGTCCAGTGGCTAACGCGACGGTCTGGAATTTTGACTCTCTGATCGCGGGTTCAAATCCCGCCCGTGGTCTGATATGGGAATCTTTATTGAAGAAACGTTTCGCCACACAGTGGCTTCACCAGTCTAGGCTGAGGGACTGATTAACTCATACTCTTCCTCTCCTTACCAATTTCTACTTTGTATTGGACTGATGAAGTCACTGTATGGCGAAACGTTTCTTCAATAAAGATTCCATATGTTGCATAAGTGTCTCAATTCTTCAAAAATGAACTAGCAAGAACTGCACATCCTTAATGTTAAGCATTGGATTGTCAGGTCACCCTAAAAGTCAACTTCAAGGGTAATACAGCACTGACTTTGATATTGGAAAAGCTCTGTGAAGATAGTAGCCACAGTTGAAGGAATCTCTCTTTGAAATCTCTGTGAGGTTGTACATGGGTTTAGCAATCCTAATATAATATTATTATTCGTGGAAGAAATCTTGGTGACTGATCCAGGTAAGCGCCATCAACTATCAGAATTTTCCATCCCTCACCTGACAAATGAATAGTTCGTGATAGACCACATAAAGACAATGTGATGAGCTTTGCAATTAAGAATTTTGAATGTCTGTAGCTGTGGTCCCCTCAAGGAAGGTTCCTTGATGTTGGTGAGGGGCTCTTGATTTAGGGAATAGGATCTGTGCTCCAGTTCCCCAAATTAAGCCTGAATGCCTTCCACATCCCCCCCCCCCCCAGGCGCTGTATAATCCTCTGGGTTTAGCGCTTCCCCCTTGATTATAATAATAATAATAATGTAGCTGTGGTCTCAAGGGAGGTGCCTCGATGCCAGTAAGAGGCTTTTGATCCAAGGAACTCAACTTATCCTCCCCTTGGATTAAACCTGAATTCCTCTGTCTCTAGGTGCTATATGACCCCCTCAGGGTTTAGCACTTTCCCCTGATTAAAATAAAATGTAGTAGTTACACCAGTGGCTCTCACCAGGAACTGATACTTGGGACTTACGTGTGCAATATCTATCTATCTATATATATATGTCGTGCCGAATAGGCAGAACTTGCCATCTTGACTTAAATAGCAACGCTCATCTTGCCATATAGGACAAGTGAAAATTTGTGTATGCAATAATTTCGCCAAAATCATTCTGAACCTAACGAAAAAAAAAATATTTCACTGTGTTTGTTTAGTATTAAATTATTGTAAACAAATCTAAAATATATTTAGTTGGGTTAGGCTAAAATAAATTGTTCTTGTTGTAATAAGGTTAGGTAAGTAAGTTCCTTTTGGTGCAAAATTATAAATTTTTACATCAACATTAATGAAAAAAATATATCTTTAAACGTTCAAGAGAAAATTTTAGAAAGGACTTAATTTTAAATGAGTTCTTGCTAATTGACCAGTTTTACATATTCGGCACGACATATATATATATATATATATATATATTTATTTACGTTCAGTAATGGCACCTGAACATACTTCTGGAATGAAATAATATTGTAAGCCGGGGGTCCACTGTATATATATATGATTTTTTTTTTTTTTTTTTTTTTTTTAACAAGTTGGTCGTCTCCCACCGAGGCAGGGTGACCCAAAAAAGAAAGAAAATCCCCAAAAAGAAAATACTTTCATCATCATTCAACACTTTCACCACACTCACACATTATCACTGCTTTTGCAGAGGTGTTCAGAATACAACAGTTTAGAAGCATATACGTATAAAGATACACAACATATCCCTCCAAACTGCCAATATCCCAAACCCCTCCTTTAAAGTGCAGGCATTGTACTTCCCATTTCCAGGACTCAAGTCCGACTATAAGAAAATAACCGGTTTCCCTGAATCCCTTCACTAAATATTACCCTGCTCAAAACTCCAACAGATCGTCAGGTCCCAAGTATCATTCGTCTCCATTCACTCCTATCTAACACGCTCATGCACGCTTGCTGGAAGTCAAAGCCCCTCGCCCACAAAACCTCCTTTACCCCCTCTTTCCAACCCTTTCGAGGACACCCTACCCCTCTTTCCTTCCCCTATAGATTTATATGCTTTCCATGTCATTCTACTTTGATCCATTCTCTCTAAATGACCAAACCACCTCAACAACCCCTCTTCTGCCCTCTGACTAATGCTTTTATTAACTCCACACCTTCTCCTAATTTCCACACTCCGAATTTTCTGCATAATATTTACACCACACATTGCCCTTAGACAGGACATCTCCACTGCCTCCAACCGTCTCCTCGCTGCTGCATTTACCACCCAAGCTTTACATCCATATAAGAGTGTTGGTACTACTATACTTTCATACATTCCCTTCTTTGCCTCCATAGATAACGTTTTTTGACTCCACACATATACCTCAACGCACCACTCACCTTTTTTCCCTCATCATTCTATGATTAACCTCATCCTTCATAAATCCATCCGCCGACACGTCAACTCCCAAGTATCTGAAAACATTCACTTCTTCCATACTCCTCCTCCCCAATTTGATATCCAATTTTTCTTTATCTAAATCATTTGATACCCCATCACCTTACTCTTTTCTATGTTCACTTTCAACTTTCTACCTTTACACACATTCTCAAACTCATCCACTAAACCTTTGCAATTTTTCTTTAGAATCTCCCATAAGCACAGTATCATCAGCAAAAAGTAACTGTGTCACAATCCCATTTGAATTTGATTCCCCATAATTTAATCCCACCCCTCTCCCGAACACCCTAGCATTTACTTCTTTTACAACCCCATCTATAAATATATTAAACAAACCCTGGTGACATTACCATCCCTTTTAAAACCTACTTTACCGGGAAATATTCTCCCTCCTTTCTACACACCCTAACCTGAGCCCCACTATCCTCAAAAAACTCTTTTTCGCATTTTGTAACTTACCACCTTTTCCATAAACTTGCAACACGCCCTTTGCTCCCTATCCACCTATCATAGTTTTTTTCTAAACCAAAAATCAAAAAAAATTTCCCCCTACCTTTATCTAAATACTGTTCCATATATGCTTCAATGTAAACACTTGATCTCACATCCCTACCCACTCTGAAGCCTCCTTGCTCATCCGCAATTCTACATTCTGTCTTACCCTAATTCTTTCAATTATAACTCTAACCGTATACTTTTCCGGGTATCCCTCAGTAAACTTTTTCCCTCTATAATTTTTACAACCCCTTTTTTGCCCCCTTTCCCCTTTATATAAAGGGACTATACATGCTCTCTGCCAATCCCTAGTACCTTCCCCTCTTTCATACATTTATTAAACAAAAGTACCAACCACTCCAACACTATATCCCCCCCTGCTTTTAACATTTCTGTCATGATCCCATCAGTCCAGCTGCTTTATTTCCCCCTTTCATTCTACGAAATGCCTCACGTACCTCCACCACACTTACATTCTGCTCTTCTTCACTCCTAAAAGATGGTATACCCCCCGGGCCAGTGCATGAAATTACCGCCTCCCTTTCTTCCTCCAACATTTAAAAGTTCCTCAAAATATTCTCGCCATCTACCTAATACCCCCTTTCTCCCCATCTACTAACTCCCCTACTCTGTTTTTAACGGACAAATCCATACTTTCCCTGGCTTTCTTAACTTGTTTAACTCCTCCAAATTTTTTCTTATTTTCATTAAAATTTCTTGACAGTGCCTCTCCCACTCTTTCATCTGCTCTCCTTTTGCACTCTCTCACCACTCTCTTCACCTTTCTTTTACTCTCCATAAAAACTCTGCTCTTCTTATAACACTTCTGCTTTGTAAAAACCTCTCGTAAGCTACCTTTTTTCTTTTATCACACCCCTTTTCTTTATCATTCCCCCAACACCCTCTTTCTCCCGCCCCCCCCCCCTATAACCCCAAAAAATTCTTTCCCCACTTTTTAATACTGCATTTTTAAAACTATTTCCACCCCTTCAACCCCCCACTACTCACTTTGCACTAGCCCCCCTTTCTGCCATGTCGCTTTTATCTCGCCCCCCCAACTTCCCCCTCCTTAGTTTATC